GCGGGCGAGAGCTGGCGAATGGTCGCACAGAGATGTTGACCCAAGTTCTTCTCGGTTTCCTTCTTGCCGTCTGCACACTTCTCAAACCTGTCCATGACCGTTCTCGCGGACGAGTGAAGACTGATCAGCAGTAATGGCCGGACAGACCCCAAGTCAGGCACACCGCAGGTAAGGTTTTGAGCCCAATCTTCAGGTCGGATCGTCTTCCAAAACAACAACGCGCGGAAGTCCAGCTGGTCGATCTGCGCGTCTTGCTGGGGAATACATGAATGATGAATGACGTTCGAATGATATAGTTGCGGCCATCGCGAATACTCGTGGGGCCCCCATCGTCCGTCTGCGCGAGTGCAGATCTGCCCTGGTGAAGGGACTGGGAACTCGGGCATCCACGTCGCATTGGCGGTCGTCACGACGGCGCGAGCATCCATCTTCCACTCAGTGGCAAGCTGACCGTCGCACCACTTTAGGTTGGCATTTGAGGTCTCATCTTTACGTAGCAATTAGTACAATGTAGCCTTGGAACTGAACAGACACCGGACGCACCAAAGAGATGAGGAGTCTCACGAAGAACCAAGGGTCCTCGACCTGCGACTCGTGGCTCCGGGAAGTTGACAGTGTCCGGTTGTACCATACGCCCAAGGACTTCTGCGGTTGAATGCTGCAAATCGGCTGTGGCGCTTCATATGTGCCGTCAGTCATGCACGCATTGGCCGGAATGTTCTACAACGTACCTCACATTCGATGCGCTAGTACGCCCAGGACACCCATACTCTAACCTTGATATTCCAGGGCTAATGTCGATCATTAGAGCGTCCGCTGAGCATGGCCGTCGTGGATACTCACACGGGCTCGCTAAACGACGTTGGTCGACGGTTGGACATCACAATTGTTTGTTTGAGTGGTATGCTATCTGAGTTGCCGCGTCAGCATCCATACAAGGTGTGAGATGGTCCGGGCTACCTTGGAGTCGTGCAAGCAGCCCACTCCCGATTCACGCGAAATCGTGACCAGAATCCGATGTCGACGGTGGACTACCAACACACTGTATGGCAGGTCAGCATATAGATAACTGCACAAGGCGTACGTACCCTTCCCGCAACCTTCAGTTTTTGAGACAACGAGAAATTCGATCCGGGCGCGACCGTGAAGAGGAAACTGGGCAACAGGCAGAAACCTTCCTGAGCGCACGCAGTCTGTCGTAGAGGGTCGACTTCAGGCGTATGCCCTCAGGACGCACCACTCAAGGGAATGTGCCAAGGAGCCTTGAGGACGCCAAAACGGGTTGAGAATGATGAGAGAAGTCGAGTTGGGATGAGATGTGCAACCGCGATGCAGAGGAGGAGGAGGAGGAGGAGGGGGAGGAAGAACAGGAGGCGCGGGTTGTGGACTCGGCCGTGGACTCGGCCATGGCGCGCACAGTCACATTGCGTGCCATGTGACAGGTCACGCTTACCACGGTATGCTCACCGCCAAGCTCTCGGGATGCGACGTATGTACATGCAGCGCGTCGGGGGCCCAATGACGGTTGGCGTGGTGAGTAATTGAATGCTTCATATTTGCCTGCACTTTCGGGAGCTTTTCCATTGTACCTGTTGAACCAGCGTATGTCCGCGCTGACGTCCGACTTGCGCACCCTACAGGTGCCACAAAGACCGCCATCCCCTTCTTCAACAGGCCCTCAACTTCCGCCTGCGAACCCTCCACTCGATCCTCGCACCTCATCTCTCCAATTTGAATCTGGCGACTCCTACCCGGATCTTCGCGACCGAAGCAACACGCAACAAGGCTGCGCGGCCCAGGACTCGCACAACGCGCGTACAAGTCCAGCGCCGAGCAACAGAACCACGCGGAGCCCCGAGAATGCGGAGCCAGGAGAAGGGAGAGGGGGAGGAGAAGGAGGATAGGAGGAAGGAAAGGAAGGAGGGAGGGCGCGGGGCGAGCAGAGAAAACGAGCACGAAGGCTCGAGAACCGCAGGTACGACCTCACCGAACGTCCCCACCTCGCCGCCTCCACTCCCAGTGCCGCGCCAGCAGGCGTATCGACGTACGGGAAGTCCGTTATGCGAGGCCTGCTAGCCACAAAGACGGCATCTCCGCCTCTTTCGACGACTCTTACGTCGTACCCACCACCTTGGACGGTAACACGGCGGACGCACAGAGCTACGCGTCCGACGTGTCCGTTCTACTGCCACTGCCCGCGCCAGCAGGCGTAGCGACGCACGGGAAATTTGTCGCGCGCACTGCTGGGCACGAAGACAGCACTTCCGTCTTCCGGGACGACCTCAGCGCCGTATCCGACGTCCTGCAGGGCAACACGTCTGACGTGCCCCTTTCTTTCACGTCTCGCTGCACAGACGGTACGTCGAGCATAGCGCTCAATGTACACGCTGTCAAGAGAACGACGCCGCACCTGGTGTACCCGGAAACGTACCTGGCGCGTTGGTCGACCCCTCATGTGCGAGCGACGGCATTGAGGTACACCTTACAACGGTGCGCCTGGTACGCACGTCCACAATCGCAGTACCTACATGGGAAAGCAACCCAACGAACAACGGGTTCATTGCGTGCTTCTCCAATGTCAACAGCAGGGTACTAGGCCCAGCCAGCAGTACGGTCATCGTGCCTACTGCTCCTATTTCGCGAGACGGCGCGTCTCTGGAAAGCCTTCGAGCTCTACCAGTCCGCTTCCTATATTCATCCCTCCACCACAGCATGCGGCGGATACGTCGAGCCCATCGCTCGATATATCGCATGGTGCCTTTTCTGTGGATGTGCACGAAGCACGCACGTCCGTGCTCGCTGCCGTTCACCACATCTCTGACTCGCATAGCGGCGTGCCCGGAGAACCTCTTGGTTCTACTGGGCGGTCCTATTCTCCTTCTATATCACCTCGCGCTATGCATACTTCGAGCCCGCCGCCCGAGGTACACACAGCCGATTCCCGAGACGCGCGCGATGCACCTTCAAGCATGCTCGCCGCGACTCCTCAAACTCCCGTTTTGACGTACACGCGTCTGCCGCCCAGACTAGTGGATAGTACCACGAGCGTCGAGCTCGAGGCACCAACTGCTGGCTACCTTACTGGTGTAGCAAGCCCGCATAACGGCTTGGCTAACGAGCCTCGCGGCGTCACGACACATGACGTGTCCGGTGTGCAAACGAGCACGACCGGTGCGTCTTACACCCTCATGCAACCACCGCGCTCCACGTAGGGAGTACAACGAGCTCAAGGCTCGATGTACTCACTGCCTGTGACCGTCGTACTTCCGTCCTCCCGCATCCACACTCAGACTCTGCTTCAGCGGATGGTTCAATGAGCAACGAACGCATTGCACTCGCCGTTGTCGACACTTCGGAGCTACTGAACCTATGTGATGGCCATGTTAATGAGCCCAGCGTTGTCACGACACACGACGTGTCCGGGGTGCAACCCAGCACAACCGGCACGTCTTCTGACTGTATCACAACACCTACTCTTCGTGCAACGAGTACGTCGAGCTCAAGGCTCGATGTACTAATTGCCGATGGGACTGGTAACGCGCGCAACGGCTTGGCTACCGAGCTCTGCACCGTCACGACGCACGACACTCGTCCATATCCACGTGTGTCAAGACGGGCGACAAGGCCTGCTCGTCAAGGTCGGCGACCCTCGACTTGATATGCGCGTCGATGGGCTCGTCAGATCAAAGCCTGCTGCGGTATTGATGATGCGCAAGCCGAGCATATCCATTGGGTCGCCTGCAACACCGCAGCCAAAGTAGTACACGATGACCTCGCTGCTCATTGTGGGTTCTATGCGCGACAGCAGCTACGTGTCGGACGCATGCAAGAGCGTACCGAGCACGTCTGCTGTGTACTCAGCACCGACCTCCATGTCGGAGACCACGCTCCGCGACTCAATCGGTGTGTAATCAAGCACGACCAACACATCCGACTACAGCGCGAAGACACGAGCGTCGCTTACGCAGAGCTCCTCGCTCTGCGTTCACGACAGGGCCGAATCTTGCGACTAGGCCGTTGTCGACGTACCCAGAAGCACGTCGGCCACGCCTAGCTCGTCAAGGCACAAGCTCATCTCGGTCAACGGCTCGTCAAGCGACGCCGGTCGACGACCCAAGCTCATGCAGGTCCATCCGACTTCGATGTGTCCATATGAAGTCGCTATGCTTTGTTGGCTACCCACCCGCCATACGTATAAGGACTCAATCTGTGGCAAACACCAAGTCCACTGAGCGAGTTATCGAGCAGCCGACGGGGCGCAGTACATCCGAGTTGCCGGATGTACTGACCTCGTCGTACTCGACAATCAAGCCGACGTCGACTGCTCCCACTTCAACGGCTTGCAAGGTTTTGGAATCAACACTGGCCGTGTCGACCAGCAGCAAGAACCGGGTCACGATGGGCGAGTGCTCAGTGAAGGACAGTACATCCGCCTCGAAGGATGTACTGACTTCTCTGGCAGCGCCATTGACAAGTACGGTACCGCGTGTGCAAGAGGAGCCGTATCACTCGAGCTCATACGAGCGCTACAGGGCTCCTGCACTACGCAATCAAGCCCCGATTCACACACACAAGGAGTCGATCTCGCAGGTGCAGGATCCTCCAACCGACAGATAAGACCAAGAATGGTCTGTACCCGAGTCGAAGGTGGATGAACACTTACGCAAAGTTGCTGACTGCTGACCGGGATGGCTTACGAGTGTGCTTCTAACCGGATCTGACTGCTAATTTGACCAATATATGGCCAAATATAACCAAAGATATGGGGAAAAAAACCCCTTACTTTTCGGTTATAACCGTGATGTCAACCAGTTAGGTCATTGGGCGCTTGCAAACCACGGCAACACTAGTCGGACTGAGTCGTAGTCTGCCGATTAGCAATCTGAGCCAGCTATGCGGACAAGTATGAGCATTCATCCAACACACGGATCTGAGAGTCAACGTACTCTCTCTATCAATATCTGTGGATTTGAGATGTTAGAGTGGATATATGCGCCATTGCGAGACGGTCGTCTCACCTGAGCGTCGTCTTTTGCCACATGGTGCCAAAGCTCAATTATTTTCCGCCAGACTGCATTTAAAGCATCTTCGCGCTCCCTATGACCGACGTCGCTCCTCAGTGAGTGTCGGATGTTGTGAGGAGGACTACGTGCGCATACCGTAACTTGCGTTTGAGTTCGTCCACCTTCTCTTGCAGCGCGGCTGTGCGTTCTTGTTGTTCCTGGTACGTGTAAGCCAGTCAAATGGTCAGCTGGGCGCTGATGCTCGTCTGGATAGCTCGGCTGCTGGAATGTACCATACCTTCGTGCACGTTGCGCTGTGGTGATTGCGAGTCCCCGGTGCGTGGACGACGCTGTGTAGGTTGCGAGTCTCCCGGGTCGAAAAGAGACCGGAAGGAATCGGTGGTGTCGGTAGAAACGACGGGCGGGGGCTGTTGGCAAGCGGACGGGAAGGGGATGTGACGATTCGGGCCTGGAGGGGACGTACGAGCTCGGATACTCGCAGGGGACACTGTAACGCGGTCGGAGGAGAGTGGTGGAGTCGTCCCACAACGCAGGGACTCAGAGTGAACGCGTAGAAACTCGTTGAAGCCGGATAAAACGCAGAGAGCCGGAAGGAAACGCGGTGCTCGTTGAAGGTGAACGCAGTGATCTATTCGCAACGCAGTAAACGCAGGACGCAGTCAGAAACGCAGGGAATCGCCGTTGAGCTCGCTCTCTACTCCTAGGTGGTAGGTCGGTAGGTTGTCTCCCTCCCGGTCCCCGGCTCCCTCCCTTATGTTCCCTCCGGCTTGCTCTCCCACGCCTCCGCCTCGCTGGCACTCCTCCCCGTACTTCCCCGTTCCCTCCGGTCTCTCTTAAGCCCCCTCCTTCCCTTCCTGTACCGTCTCCCGTCCAGCGCCATGCCCTCCGATGCCCCAGCCAACCCCTCCGCCATCGTCTACTCTACCCGCTTCTACCGTCTTCTTGCTCTCCTCCGGGATGAACGAGTCGTCGAGCCGCGTCTTGTCGCTGACAGTCCTACCGAATGGTTGGCCTGGGCCCACGCCGCCCGCTGGATCGTCGTGGGTGATATTCATCTCGTATATTCTCCTTCCGGCGGGCTGACGCTCCTTCCGGTGCGTAGCGCATGCTCTTCGACTCCCGGGCGCGAGCTACTGCGCATGGCGACGTGTCCCTCCCTCTCATCCGCCGGTTCTCCGACGTCCAGGATCTGATCGACTACCTTGACCAGGTGTTCTCGACCATCGCGTCCGAGCACAGCGTCGTTGGCGAGCCGTACCCTACTATCGCCTGGTCCGCCAACCGCGTCGCTGTTGAGCAGTCCGATGTCGAAGTGGGCCGTCCGTTGCTTCCGGTTTGGTACCTCGAGAGGCCCATGCAGCTCTCCCCCCTCCGGGCTTCCTCCGACAGCCTCGACGCGCTCATCTCCCAGCTCCAACGTTACGCTAGCGTTCAACGTGACGTGTCCGCCTCCTTCCAGTCCGAGGCTCAGCATACCCGCCGTATTCTCTCCGGCCTGGCGTCCAGTGTTGCCGGCGTGCACGATCGTCTTTCGCGTGGCGTGTACGTTCCGGACGCTGACTATTCCGGCATTCCGCGTCGCCTTCAGTTCCCTCCGGCGCGTACTAGTGACGATTTCGAGGATGCGGGTGTCGAAACCGAGACCGAGACTGATTTGATGGATGAGGGGGAGAGTGTGCGTGAGGAGTAGTTCGTTCCTGTACCCTCCGGTGCCGTCCAGGGCTGCCTCCGGTTGCCCTAATGAGTTGCTTTCCGGTTGTGCTGCCTAGGTAACCTATCCTTCGACGTCCCTTCCGTGTGTAACGCCGTCCGTTGTCCTTTGTAGTCGTTTGCCTTGTATCGGTTGGTTCCGGGCCTGCTCTGTGGGGCTTCCCCACATCTCCCCCCACCTGAAATTCTGACCGTCCTCGGTCAGGCCGTCTCCGGTCCGTTTGCTGTGTTCGTTGCACGCGCTCCTTTATCCCTGCCTCCGTGTCCGTTCCTTCACTGGACCCTGCCGGAATTGGTCCGTCTCGCTCGCCCATCCCGCCTACCTTCCCGGGACCTGATTGGTCGGGCGCGTTCCTTCCGTGGGAAGAAGTGGCCTGGGATCTCGATCGGCCCTCCGATCAGTGTGGCTCCGGGCCATCAGCGGCCACCTTCCGCGTATAAATCGCTGCCTCCGGTGCTCCCTCCGCCCGCCTAACATCCTCCACCGCCTGCTCCTCTCCTCGCTGTCGACCCGCTTTCGTCCTGCTCTCCATGTCTCGCTCCCCGTCCCCTGAAGCTCGCGCTGTGGCCTTCGATGCCGCCACCGCCTTGGCGTCCAGTTTCCCGGATCGCCTCTACTCCCTCCGGCTCGCCGCACTCTCCACCCTCGTCAACCTGGAGATGAGGATTGTCTGCATCGCCCGTGCCGAGCCCCCTCTGTCGGACGACGCCCCTCCGGACGAGAGTTCCGCATGGCTCTCGTGGGCTCGCGAGGTGGCGCTTGCTCGAGTAAGTACCCTTTCTCCTGTTTCCCCAGTGACCCGCCACTGACGTCTTCTTTTACAGGCTATCTTCCTGGCGAACCAGGAGTACGCGCTGGGGCAGGGTCACCCGCGGGTTGAGATGCGCCCCGAGACCCTCGTCATCCTCGGCTCGCTCCTGACTCGTCTTAACGAGTATGCGGAGGTCGACTCCGTTTACCAGCGGACCCTCGAGGTCCTCGTTGAAGACCTCACCACCCCGGCCCTCCTCGTCGGTACCGAAGCGCGCTGGGCCAGTACGTACTTCAAGGTCGCCGAGTCCGTCCTGTCCCCCTTCGACTCTGTTCCGGATGCTCCACCCATCCCCGCGCCAGCCGCCGTTCCTGTCGCCTCGCCCGCTCATTCCGGGCCTCGATGGTCTCCGCGTGCGTCCCCTGCTCCCCGGTCTGCCTCGTCCTCCCCGTTCGCCCGCCTTTCCCCGCCTCCGGCCCCTCCTATCGACGTTGACATGCTGGACGCGGTGGCCACCGACTCCGATGATGAGGGGCCTCCACCTCTCCCCGAGCCGCCCCTCCCTCTTTTCCTTCCGTTGCCGTCCGCTCGTGGTGAGTCCCCGTCACCGCCTCCGTCGTTTCCGCGGGGACGAGCCGTTCCTCGTCGTTTTCAGTCCCCTCCCCCGATCGCCGTCCTCAGCCCCGCTCCATCGCCATCTCCCGCCCCCGACTCCGCTCCACGTCGCCTCCCCCGTCTCATCGTTCACCCTCCTCGCCCGCCCGCATCGGCGAAAAGTCGCGAGCTATATCTAGCTATAGATAGGGCACCTACCTTGGTAGGCCCTTACCGTGCTGGGTTTCGACGCTCATGCCATGGATTTATGACATGGGCTTCTCCAGTCATTTATCTGACGACATCTGAGCCGATCCAGCGTTACCTATAAGATGCCCCGACGCCGTTTAGTCATTGCATGTGGTTCGGAAGGCACTGGCATGGGTCATCACCCAGCAGCTCTGATGACGTCTGCCTCGCGCAAGTGCCAGGCCCGGCACATACACCATCGTGCGGGGCGAGTCTGAGTCATTGGACGGCGGGCCATGTGTGCAGGCGGCCAGGTTGGCTGCTACGAGCCCTATAGCTGCTGCCCGGAGGCTCGGATATCCGTCTCGTCCTCAGCCAAATCATGAAAAAATGCCATGTCATTTTTCGAGATGACGCTTGCGCGTGCGATGTACAATGGGCACAGTGAGACCATACGAAATTGGAGCACCTGCATTTGACGTATGCGGCTCCCGCTTGCCAGCTTTCCCGCTTATCCGCCTGCCAGCTTTCCCGTTCGTCAGCCTGCCTGCTCGCACGCCAGCCCGTTTCCCGTGGCGACGGTCGCCATATGTGTCGCAGTGAACTGCACAGGTAACCCCGCCGGGTGTCCAGGGGTTTACCCGCACCTCTACCCGCTGCGATGGGTCTCGAGGAAGTACTGCGGGTCCGCGGGTCAGTGAGCGGGTGGACGGGTGGATGAGCACATACGAGGTGAGACAGCGCGGGCGGACGAGAGGTTCTGCGCACATGGTTCCGAGAGCGATCGGGGAACGGAGGCGCGGCGACAGCCTGAGAGGCGTGGACGAGTGGGGGCGTGGCGCGAACGTAGGTTTGTCGAGCGCGGATCAGGGCGCATCGAGCGACGACGTGTGCGTCGATGCGTCTGGCAGGGTGACTTGGCGGGCACGAGATGTGCTGTCCATCTGCACATCTTGGTCTGTGCTTGCCTTTGCACGTGTCGGGAGACCTGTCTGTCGGGTTTGCACACGCGCTGCGCATTGGTGGGACCTCCTGTCGCAGCCTGGATGTGCGCGTTGACACGTCGAACCCGTCGTCGCGCGAAGGCCGGTTTGCGGTTGTTCGACGTCGGTGCTTGGAGTGGCAACTGCGAGGCAACTACCGAGCGCGCGGTGACATCGCAATGGTCTACTGGTCAAAAGACTCCATGATGCCCTTGCGTCGTCACTGGCGGTATCCTCGGCTGGCCGGACATGGTGGGTGCTTGGTGGGTGCTGTTTTGCTCGTGTTCGAGACGCGAGCGAGTGGGCCTGTCGCCCGCATGCTCACCTGCAAATTCGCTGGCCATGCCTGCGTGCTGAGCATTCGTCCAGCGCACTCGAGATTGAAGTGTGCGTCGGTGAGCCCTGTGCTGGTGATCAGCTTGCTCATTGGTGCACATCTGCACTCACCTCTCCTTCATTAACGCACCTGCAATCTGCTCGTCGGCTGCGTCTGCACGCAGGGCATTTACCCTGCGTGCTCGTAGTCAGTGTTTGTTGTGCACGCCGGGGCCCTGCTCACCGCTGTTGCCCTCGCCTGTCCCTCGCTCATATGCATGTTATCCGTCCATCGCGCGTGTTTGTGTGTTGGGCACTCGTGGTCATACTTGTGCATGCCCAAGCCCGAGCCCGGGAGACGTCATAGACGAATCTTAAGACTGGGAGGGTGTTAGCAGGACGAGCGGCGAGAGGGAGAGAGGGAGGTGAGGCCAGTGACAAGGGGGAACCTCCGCGAGCGACGCGTTTGGGCGCTCGCGGGGTTGCCTCTTTTGGCAATACCATCGTAGGCCGCAGACTGCAGGGCGGGTACGCGCATTAGTACGGAAATGGATACCTACCCGCGTGGGTTGGGCCCTAATCCTGCAATGCACCTACTTACGACTGGTGCTGGTGAGTGGCGGAGAGTGGCGGGTATGGTGCAGGTAGCGGGTCACAAAAGGTGACCCGTGCTCTGCACCAATCGGACTGTATGCGCACACGTGACCGCGTGCAGTCGAGCGCTGATGACGCGGAAGAGGGAGGAAACGGTGAGAAACAAGAGAGCAGAAGATGGGGGTTCGAGGTCAAGAAGAGATCCCAGTCCTTGAAGGAGCACAGAAGCTTTATATGGTCGTGGACGCATCTACCTAAGTATGTCATTGCCCGTACGCGGATGCATCTAACTACGTCATCGCCCGATCGGGCGAGGTGAGCTACTGTTATGGTAAGTTCGTATTCCGAATCCGTAAGCGCTGTGAGCCAGACGGGCGCAACGCGCAGCCGTGACCAGGGTGCACGTATTGTTCAGTGCACTGCATTTATTACTGCAGCTCATAAATAGTAATGAGTAGCTTATCTGTAGACATGTTATGCAGGCACAGCTCAAGGCACATTCACTGTTCACATCGACATTGTTGACTCGCCGGTAGATAGGCTACTAGCTTTGGCGACGCATTCGTTCGCGGGGCGTGTCGATGTTGTATATATTTCCAGCACTGCATTGTAAGATGACTATATATCTGAGGCTCACTATAATTAAATGACCTGACCTGGAATAAACAGAATGTCGAATATTCTCCAGAACGGCCAGCCTATGTCTGGCTATGGCTGGCTATGGCTGGCGATACCTAATAGGGTAAGTCACGAATTGCACCGCCTACGCCTCTCAGGCCCGATATTGATTCTGCCTTTTCGCCGATGCGTTGCCTCCGTCCCCGCTCCTCCTCGTCCGGCCCCAGGACTCGTCGACATCGCTCTGCCGCCTCCAAAAGGCGCGTCTTCAAGGAAGGACCGTATCCGTTACGGGCCCTTCGTGTACAGTCCGGGCACGCCGTGCGAGAAATGCGCAAAGCGCAATCACGTTTGTCGCCGCGACGGGTACCCTGGCCATGGGTGCAGCACCTGTATCCGTTTGAAGGAGCAGTGCTCCCTCACTCGGCTTCGTGCGTGTTTTTCTTCCTCCGCTCCTCCTTCTCCTTGCTGACGTGTCGACCTTGACATTTCCAGCCAATGGCCCCCGCGTCTCCGGTACATCGGCCTTCACACCGACGTCTCCCCTGAGGTTGCCGCCCGCTACGACCACACGCCCCGCATTCCCCGTTCCACGATCGTCGAGGGGAGCCCGCCGGCCGACCTCCTGGCGTCCTACGCACCCCCGCCAGCTCGTTCCCCGTCTCCTGTGGCTGGCCCGTCCCGCTCCGTCCGTCGCCGTGTCCAGGACCTTGCGGGCGGCCTCGACGCGGTCGAGCGGTTCGTCCTTCGTCCGGGTTTGCTCGGCGCCCCCAACGACGCGGCGGGACGTGTCACTCCCGATGAGGACACCGAGATGGCGGACGCCGCCGCGGTCGACGCGGATCTGGAGTCGGAGGATGCGCAGTAGAGTAGGCCTCCGTTCGTACTTGTATGTAAATAGCCCCTGTCCTGTTCCCGTCCATGTATTCCCCGTTCCTCGCTAATTGTTAATGAATGGCTTTGTTGTCCGCTCTCCCTCGCGACCGAGTTTCTTGAATCCGGGGTCCTCCGTACTCTGACTCCCGTTGTCACCTCGTGCCCTGCCGTTAATCTGCAAGCGCCCCATTCCACTCCCCCCGCGTACTCCCCGGCCTCGCATCGCGTGCCTGTTCTCTTCATCGATCTCGACCGATAAGCCGTTCCGCATACCCTCCGCGCGTCCCTTATATTCCCTCCCCCTCCGCACGTCTCCTCCCCCTCATTCTTGCACGGAGCTTGCATCTACCATGGCCAGCCCCGCCCCTCCGTCCTCGCCGGGCGTGAACGGCGTGGTCACTGCCGACGACCGCAACGATACCGTCCTCTTCACTGACCTCTCCGTCGAAGAACGCCTATCCCGTCTTGAGGCTCTCTCCGCTGAGCACGCCGCCACCCTCCGGGGTGTGGAGTCCGAGTTTAGCTCCTCCGGGGCAACCTTGCTACCGCTATGGGAGGCCTGTTCCACGCCCTTGATACGGTAGACCGCCGTTCCCTCCGCCAAGTCACCGAGTTTCGTACATCCTTCGCCGAATTCCGTCGCCTCGCCGACGAGGCCAGCGTTCCACGATTCAATCCGTCCGCTCCCTCGCCGCTCGCGTTCACGCCGTCCGCGAGACACTTGATGCTTTATCCGTGGTCGTCCGCGAGCTCGACGACTTCCAGGTCGATGCCTACGCCCGCCTGACTTCCCCGGAACGTGGCCCCGACGATCCCTCCTTCGACTCCCTTGACGCTCTCCTCAACGGTCTTGTCGACCACCTTCGATCCTCCTCCCCACTCCCCTCCGGGATACTCACTCCCCTCCGTGCGCCTCGTCAATTCTGACCCCCGCTACCTCCTCCCTCCGGTTCCCCTATTCATCCTCCTCTTCCTCGTCTTCGTCGCCCTCGTATGTTCCGAATCGTGCTTCCAGCTCTTCGTTTTCATCCGGCAAGTACTCGTCCCATTCTTGTATTGCCGAGATGTCTACTGACGCTTCGTTCCGCCCCCGGTAGGGTGC